TTTCTCAGATTGTCCTGTTTTTCTTGACTGTTTTTTTGTTTGTTTTAATTGATTAAAAAAGTTGTCACCTTTTAGGTTTATCCAAAACAAACTGTTGATTCCTTTCCCCATTTAAGTAGGCCTTTATACTGCTTTCAATTCAGTTTATCTATACTTAAAGCTGTATTCTAGGTGAAAAGTCATCAGTGCTTGAATTGTGCCAATGTTTCCAGTGCTACTGTAAGGTATATTCTTTCCTCTAGCAATAACAGTGATGTAAAAGTAATAAGAAGGACATGCAGTTCTAAAGGGATAATAACTTTTCTATTTTCTAGCTGCCTTTATGTTTTCTGGTAGTTTAATTTTCAAAGTCCTTCTCTTCCTTAGTCATTTCAGATTGAGCTCCCGGCTATTAAAAGTTCAGGATTTTTGCCTAGAAGTTGAAGTTTCACAGTGTGTGTTTGAACCTCACTCCTCTACTTCAGTGTGTATGTTAACTCTTGAGTCATGGCCTGAACCACTGATTGATCACCAGGGGAAAGGACTGGGTCAGCCCCAGGAGCACAGGTGAAGGAATTCAGCTGTGTGAACAGAAGGGTTGGAGCCTGGCTGCTCCTTTCTTAGACCCCATTTAAGGGCTGACTGCCACTGAGGAAGGAGCTCTGGTTGAAGATCCCTTCCTCATGGAGTTTTTCTCTGCAAGCATAGGTCCTCAGAGATGGGTGAGCATTCCTTTCCTGTTTGTCCTTTTGCCATTCCACTCCTGTATTGCCTTTCCTCTGCACTAATCTTTCTGCCTGTGACAGAGTTTTACATCTTGATGTACTCTGTTGAAGATTGGCCTCTTCCCCCCTCATTGTCTTGAAATTCCAATAGAACATTCCTACTTCTTGTTTCAGGACCATGAATAAAAGCCTTATAAATCCAATACTTGGTTTTAAACTATAGCCTGATATTTTCCTTTCAGCTCTACATGGTGCATTTCATCTTGTTTAGTTTCAGTTCAATTTCTAATCCATATCGTGTCTAACCCCATGTGGCACTGTAAAATAGTGATCTGGATGATTGTAGTATTGGTTGTCTGACTTCAACAGATGCAAGGATTTAAAGCAGATCTTGAAGGAGGAGATAATGAGAGTACTTAGAGGGTTGATATAATTGCTGTGATCTAAGGATATGTATCAGATAAGTTCTAATTAAAGAAACAGAGATAAAGAAAAAAGGGTATAAAATGAAGCAGAGATAAATGGCCAGAATAATTAAATGGTTATAAGTATGCCAACTGCTTTTCTCAAAAAACGCAGCAATCTACCTGAACTTCAAAATGTTTATCATTCCTCTTTCTAGAAAATCAATTGTTGTTTTGAAGTCTGTAGCTCTGAAATCCATGAAGGAAAGAGCTGCTTCTGGCTTCTATCCTGGTTCTGGAATGGTAGAAGGAGTTGGTGATGCTAGTTTTGGACCTTTTTTTTTTTTGTTATTTTTTCCTGGAGAGGAAGGTTGTGTTACTTGTCATTGCTGTTGCACTTTAGGCCCCAGAATTGGCAGCAGTTGTTTCTGCTTATAATGTGCATTTGCTATTTTGAAATGATTGAGTGCCACTGAGTAATAAATACATCAAATAATATGAATAGCAATTTAATAATGAAACCATAGAGAGGCACAATGTGGTGTAATACCTTGCTAGTCTAAAGTAAGATTAGTTGGCTCAACATTTCTCTACTTGCCAAATCCTTGCTCAATAGAGCTATCAATAATTCCACTTGCTGGCATTAAAATGCATGGTATTTGTGAGGACAACGTAATATACCTTCCCACCAGCAAATGTAAGTTAAAGATTACAAGAAAAAAATACAGAGGTGATGGCGAAAGTGAAATATTTCGTTTTGCAGAAGATCTGAAGTATTCTGTTTTCACTGTTTATTGGCACATCTCCCTGTTGTGATGGTTGAACATAGAGTAATAAGTGTAAATTTTCTTGATTGACAGTTTTTTTAACAGAAACAAAGGAAAAAATCCCTTTAAGAAAAGCTAGTACACTTTTAGGAAAGAGTAGTGTGGTACATAAGAATTTTTTAATGTTTTTTCCAGAAGTTAAAAATGATATTTTGTTTACAATCAGCTGTAAATAGTCCTTGTATTACCAGGTTATGTGCTTGGTCATGCATGAAATCTCCAAATTCAAGCTTTATTTTAAGAAACTCTGTTTAAGTTGCACAGAAACTAACAGTGCAACTCCTGCAACATAGATTTTTTTTTTTCTTTCACAAATTCACCACTTTAGAGACCCAACTGTCAGGTGTGTTGCAGCCTATATGGCTCTACGGTTCTCTAGTAGACAGTTTCCATCTTCACTTAGAGAGGCAATATTTGCTTTCCAACAGAAGCCAAGATAGAGTCAAGGACTGTCAAAATGTGACAGACAGGTGAGTTTCTGCTCAGAAGTTTCCCCTGAGAATCGAGTGAATGTAGTCTAAGAAAAAAAAAAAAAAAAAAAAAAAAAAAGCTGAAGGATTTGGACCTGCAGGATGCCAGCATATCCCTTTAGAAGTCATTTATTAAGCTCTTGGGGATTAATTTTATCTTCCTTGCAGACACAATGGTGTTAATGTGGGGAAACCTAGCAGAAGTGCTGAGGAATTGCATCCATATGCTTCACCTAAAAGTCTAATTGACCTTCATGGCCTTTCCAGGAAGTCTTCCATCTGCAGATTTCTCGCTTAAGCAGCAGTAGTTGTAGATAGGGAGGACTTGCAGGATCATTTATCATTAGTGGCTCTCCCCTCATCATTTCCTGGAACCTCAGGTGACACTGGTGCCAAAGGTGTTATACAGGGAAAAGATAACAGGAGATTTTACTTCTTTCTCTTAGATTAGCCACAACATACAGAATATCCTTATTCTATGGCTCTGTCCACTGCATTTTGTAATATCACCTTCTTAAAAAAGCCTAAAATGCCAAATTTCACTTAAATAACTTAAAGCAAAACAAGTATTTTGAGCAGTGTTTTACAAACTGCTGAACCCATTCCAAGTGTAGATTATGCCTCCCAATTCCACCTACAGTCAAAATGGAATCTATTGCTGTGTTCAACAGCATTACACAGAAGAGCTGGTCTTCACTGAAACATAATTCAACTTTACGTGTTTTTGATGGATTGCTTTTGGTTTGTAAATAATTCCATTTATTATCCCAAGTCCTTAACAAGCACTGCATCTTCGTTTGCAGACTCTTAATATTTCATAAGATTGCATCTTGATGTGATTCTTCAGCCCTGTTCCTCAGCATGTTTTATTGTATCTGCTTCATTGTGCATGGACTGGAAATAGAATCAGTGAGCAAGTTTCAAGTAATTTTTTGTTGTTCAGTCTGGCATTTTGGACAGTAGCATGGCATATATATGATTTTATTGGAATTTTCAGTTTGCTTCTCATAGCTAAGAAGATGTAAAGCCTTAAAGTGTAAATAGAAAGCTTAAAAATTACTACCAGAGAGGAAGAACAATGTAACCTCAGAAATTAGTCTGAATTCACTGCTAGGAGTAACAGGAAGTCCTCAAAAAAACCCCAACCAACTTTTCAGATACGTTCCTTTGCCTAACAGTGAGAATAGCAGGTATTGCTGGCTTTGCCTCTGTGAATGAAACATGCTCTCGTGGTGTAATGCTGATGAATAAATCACTAGATATCTCTAGATATCTAGCAGCATCTATTTACTATGAGTGGCAAGAATTTAACTCAGGCAGGAAGGGAATATTATATTTTTTCTTGTTGTTTCTGTTTCTTTTTTACTTTGTTTTATTTCATTTCCTGCTCTTTGTGAAGAAAAGAATTCTATTGTGTTGCCCTTATACGTTCACATAAAATTATGCCTTAAAATAATGGTGCGTTTTCCAGCTCCACGTATGTGAAGGTATTTAGCTTTTAGTTTGCAGATAAATTCTCTTCTCGCTTTTGTTGCAATGTGCCAGGATTGTGACAGCTCAGTCAAAACAAGGCCTTGAATTTCTGCACCTTTGCAACGATAGGTTTTTAGTGTCCAAAAATTACATGAGAAATTCAGTAGAATAAAAAGTTTAATCAACGCTAAAATGTGAATGAAATGGATTCAGAATTTGATGATGTGTCATTTGAACAAAGTTGTTAACTTGATTTTTATAGCTTTTGCTTGTCCTTATGTTCTTACTGTACCAGTGACAAATGTATCTTGTGTACCGACTGCTGTTGTACAGTAATAAATGGGGAGAAGTAAAGCTTGAAGTCTCTTCCTTTTTGCTAGCTCATGTGAAGTCAGTGAGTTCAGAAGACTTCACTGTCTTGCAACTTCGTGAAAGCTTCTGTTGAGTATATCTATTTAAATTGCTTGTAATTAGGCACTATAACTTTAAAATATAAAAACTAATAGATGTCAAGTATAAAATGAATAGCAACCTCAATGAATTCTGTTTCTCACTGTTTCCTTATGAATTTTTCAGAAACAGATGTAGCTTTATTATATGAAAATGTTTACTATTTGAATATCTTTATCTGTTTTAAAATGGTCTATGAATATTTGAAGCTTGAATTTCTTGGCTATAATATGCCATAGTCCTATTAGGTTTGGAGGAGTGCTGCATTCTGATATGAACAGCTATGCTTTCAAAACCTAATTTCTCGTGAATATAGACACCAGTTCTGTGATGCACTAAAATACCAGAGAAAGTGATGGTTTTCTTTAAAGCAACTGTAAATAGTTCTCCTGCTTTTAGATAACTCTTGTTTAATTGTACCTGTAAGAAAGCATAAGTTGTTTTTTTCTTCTTCTTCGCTGCCACTAGTTGTTTAGTTTTCATGTATAGTGAAAGGATGAAAGCAGTTTCAAGGAAGTAAATTGTCCATGATGAAGTTCTGGTTTGTGCTGGGTAAAGGAAATTACAACTTATTTACTCTTTTCCCTCATCGCTTCAAGTAAAAGAAAAATCTCATGTAGAATTTTATTGTATAAAAGAATGTCTTCAGGGGAAACAGCAGGAAAGTAATGGCAGAACAGCTGCATTACTGTGCAAATGTAGAGTAGTAGAAATCAAACACACTTAAGTCCAGTAAGTCAAGATGCTAAAAACTAAGTGGAAAAAAATTAAACAAAGAAGGAAAGCAATATTTCTGTTAGATGCGGTGTTTATTGCCAATGGTATTGGATGTAATGTCTTGCTAAATTATCTACCTGCTTCTACAGAAAGCACAAATGGACTTGCATTACTCTCATTTCTGTGCTGTTTATGGACCAAAGCAAAAGCTTAATCCATATATGTTAGCTGTTGTGAAATGGGGATAAATTCACAATGAAGGCTGAGCATGAGTAGGTGGGCTTGCTCACATTTTCTCTCGTCTTCTGCTTTAGCACCAGGTCTGTCATCTCAAATGCATGTTCTACTGAAGAAAAAGTTTTCAAGGGAAACTTGAAAGTGGCTAAAAATTGAAGTCTGGATGTTCTACTGCCAATAACTTCCTTATTTATGATTGTAATACCTTTTATTCATGCCATGAGCATCTTGGAGCTTGTTAGATCTTCTCAGAAAAGGGACCGCTTCTGCTTGGTGACTAAATCACTGAAATGAAATCAAACCAAGGAGTCCAGTGAAACATACACTCCAACAGCAAAGGTAAAAACAAAAGCCAGTGCATTAGTGCTATCCATTCACAAATGGCAGGCTGATTGCAGATAAATATACAGGCTTGTAAGATGAATGGTTTGAAAATTGCTGATAATTGTAAGGCTAACACTGATACTAACCAAACCAGTTTTCTTTTTTCCTCCTCACACTTGTATGGCAGTTTTGACCACATGCCAGCTTGAGAGAGGAGGTTTTGTGGAGGGTCAGTTAGTGGGGAAGGCAAAGCCAGTGGCAGGACTATAAATAATACCTCTAGCTGAAATTCCTTGTAGGAATATAATAATCTCCATAACTATTAATGTATTTACTATAAACAAGGACATTTTCCTCCCCTTTTCAGTGCATAGCTTCATGAGTACATATAAGCAGTACTTTCCGTGCTGTTTTGAATTTGGGGGCCAGTCCAAGATTCCTCCTGGCACAGAAGCACCTTAGAGCACGTAATCTAGCAGGGTGCTTACTGGCATTGGCTTAAGCTGGACTAGAGGGTCATCCATTCTAGGATTTCTTCTCAAGAGTATTTTTTCACTTACACAGGACAAAGTCAGAAAAAAATAGTGTGTCTTATGGTCCTAGATGGTATCAGTTGTTGACCTCTGCCTTCCAACAGTCTAAATTTCCACTTCCTGAACAATCTGTTTGGAACGCTGCTGTGCTGCTTCTGAAGAACATGCTCCTAACATTACAAGTGTATATGCTGGATGACTCTGCCAAAATGGCTTTGCGTTATTATATGTTTCTTATCCAGCAAAGATAAGATCACAGGAAAATTAACTCCCTGTATTAAGAAGATTTCTTGACTTTCTTGGTGTGTTAGCAGTGTGTAAGTTGTTCAGAACTGGGGCTATTGGTGGGAAGACTGCATGGAACAGGCAAATAATGAATGAAACACTGGTTAGGGTAACATCACATTTTAGCATAGGGAACAGAGCATGAGTGTCCAACCTTTTTGCTTGCATGGACCACAGTGAATGAAAAGGAATTGTCTAGGGCTCCGTCTCTGAAGGTTGCTTCGAAAATAATACTTCCTGATTATTTCTCTGGAAGCTACACCTGATACAGTAGGGACAATAACACAAATTTGATAGAGCAAATTATCTGTTGTAAAACCTATTTTTCAATGTAGTCACTGTCATTAGCTATGCCTTTTCACCGTGATGAACAAGAGCCTGCTCATAACAATCTGTATCGGTAGAGGTGAGCCACTCACTGCTGCTGGAATGCACAGCTGGCTGCTTTGCTGTGCTCACATCCACTGGTTGGTCTCCTAAAAAGCTCAGCAAGTGTTTATGAACATGGTGCTATTTTTTCTTCATGGAGAAATTGAGTAATACACCATTGCTTCATACAAGCTTCCATGTCAGATAGCATTCTGCCAGGCTGCCTTTCTGATGCCATCTGTCACATAGCAACAACATGTAACGTGGGAAAGCTCAACATCTACTGCCATACTATCAACATCATGAAACAGGAGGCATTATTTTCAAAATAGCTTTCGTAAAATATATTAAAGTATATGATTAATGTATGTAGGTAACAAAACTTTTTTTATTTAAAAAAGGGTGACTTTGTTTTTGTGAACCTAATGCATCACTCTGATTCCATGGCAGTGGATGCAATTCTTAGCGAGCGTTTCAAGGTGTTTGATTTTGATGAAGTTTTTCTCTTCCTGTGCTTCATCCTTGAAAACATTTGCTCACAAATGTATGTACTGCCATAAAGTGATGAGATGAAATAAGGTGTGGTTGCAAGGCGAGAGATATTTCTCTCGAGTAAAATGAGGCTTATAAAAGTCTGATAAAGAGATATGATCAGATTTCTGATTGCATTGCTGTGTGCTCCATTTGGAAATTCACAAGTGATATCTTTATACTGACTGAAGTAAAAAAAAAAAAAAAAAAAAAAAAAAAAAAAAAAAAAAAAAAAACCAACCAAGATTATGATGACTTTGTTTGCAATCTTTAAACCTATTCTGAAATTCCTATATCACAACAGAAAGCATGGCTGCGTATTTTTCTGTAGTGCTGCAGTCTTTGCTGAGCAGCAAATTGGGAATGCTTGCAATAGAAGGAAGAGGTGAGTGGTAGTGTGTGCAGGGTGAATAGTCTGTGGGAGTGCTGTGGGAAGAATTTGTGTTTCACTGTAGTTATTCAGTTCCAGTAAGGCATAATTTCACATCCAAGTCCCTTATAGTCGTAGAACATGTAGGGCAAACGCTGTCATCTCTCTGAAAAGAGAATTGACTGATCTGAGTAGGTCTATTCACACGTGCAAGATTTATCCACCAATCCTTTTCAGCCTTTGAATAGTAATATTGTGCAGTATTAGGCATGAGCAAATGTCAGCTAATAACACTTTTGTGACTCCTCAAGGTAAATGTATCATGGCGCATTCTAGATTCTGCCCTTCTTAAAGGCTTCCAGTTTTTCTTCGTTTTGCTTTGTTCTGTGATGCTGTTTATAGCTGGCTTTTTAACATTATAGCCAAGAAAAATAGTGGCTTATTTAACAAAATAATGAGTAGATTTTGAAGGCTGTAGCTGTGGAAATAGCTGCATTCAGTGGAAGAAACACTTTGCAGAGTGCTGTACTATTTCAGTAGAGTCTAGACAGCATATCAGTGAGTAAAATGATAGGGTTCTTCTTATTTTTTCTGTTTTGGATACTGAAGCATTTAGACTATCTCATTTGAACCACTTAATTGCTTTGTATCATTAGTGTTTATATTGTGTGTGTAAAAGCTACATTTAAAACTGTTGCCTATCTTTAATTAACACAGGTACAACAGAGAGCATTTTGACATTTGAGAAATCCACCTCTAAGCAATCTATATTTGAGTAAGCTACACAGAGCTACAGTGATATAGTGGGTAAATGGCACCTTCCAAGGGTATGGAACTGGTATTATGACCCAGCTGTGCTATGGGACATTTGACACTCCAATTCCTAACTTTGAGCTTCAATATCGATATCACAGAAGTTTTGGAGGTAGGATTATATTTTTTTAATACTAGGTCTGAGGTGTTGCTATTAAAATAAATGGTTCTGTGAATTATCAACAACAATTACATCTCTTGAGGGATGGTAACCAGCTGACTCAATGTTGTTTCTTTGTTTTCTAGCTGTATATTTCAGACACAGACCGAATTCTAAGGAACACTCAGGTATAAAGGATGTAAACTGAAGTACAGGTTTATTTGATTCATAAGCACGTGGCCTCTATCTATTGCTTGGCGTGGTTAAGTAGTTGAGAGTGAAATCCTCAAATATGGTAGTTTATCCTTCCTTGTAAAACTTTTTGCTTGAACCTTGCTATAGAAAAGTCCGTTTTCAACCTCTTTTCCCCTTCTTGAAGGCTGACAGGAAAGTCTAGGCTTCTATTTCTTTCTTCTTTCCATTTTCCTCAAAGATACCACTGAAATTAAGTAGACTCAACTCAGCTGAAACACACACTATCAGTGGCAGTACGGAATTACTGCCACAGCTCTTCTTAATGGGTTGTGTCTGTGCTCTGTACCTCATTCCACAGACTCACCTTTTCTGAGTAATTCTGTGCTATGCAATATATCACTGCTGTTTTAAACTAGCAGTTTCTTATTAACATCCAATATAAGAAAGGGCCACACTTGAAGAGCTCATCCTTTCCTTCATGACATAATTATACAAAAAACACTTAGTGCAGAAATGAAGTTACTTTTCCCATGTGGAGCTGAGGTGCTGATACTGCTAGACTGTTGCTCGTAGGTCTTCATGCTGAGAAAGCAAATCCAAAATAAGATGAGGCATTTTTCAAAAATTCTTCTCTTCAAAATAATGGCAAGTAATCTGATGCAGAATTGAATATTACTTTTGATTAAATTAATTGTAGTACTTGAGTATGTCATAGATGTACATTCTTAATAAGTATGACTAGACCAGATTTTCTGGTAGCTGAATACCGGTGGTTTCAATTAATTTTACTTATTTGTAGCTGTGCGTAGTTGTTTTCAGGCTGTTCTGTTTAAAGGAACATCAGGGAATTTCAAGTTTGGGTTCCTCATTTTCTTGCTTCCTTTCAAAAACCTGTCATACTCCAAACACTGGACTTCAGGCTTCACTCAAATGCTGTTGCTTTACAGTATTAGCCACAAGTAAGTAAAGGTGATATTTATGTCATCCAATTCACTGAGTAGTCATTTCATTGCAAAGGACCAGGTGTTGATCTTATACAAACTGAGCACTACAGATCAATACCTATCGCAATAGCAATTGTTATTAAGGAGGATCAGGTGTAATGAGAACCATAGTTCCACTGAGCCTGAGTGTTTCTAAAGTTGATACAAACCCTGTTATTTGCCATGTAACCAAAAGGGACATTTGATTATTAATTCTTTTTCTACAGGCAACCATGTCTTAAAATTCTTTTGATTGTGCAACTTTCTCTTTAAAGGTAATGATATTTTCTTCTATTAGCAAACCAAATTTCTCTAGAATTTGTAACTTCTTTCAGTTTGTCTTTTTGTGATAAGAATGTGATCACATTATTGTGATCGTATTATCAATTGGTGTATATGATCTTTGAGTGTTTGCATTATTTTTTTCTAAGCTTAATAATATTGTTCTGGGTACATACTGCATGGTGCAAGAATGCCTATAGAATGGCTTTGAACAAGCTTATATGCTCTCTGCCCTCATTTCTGCCTGTGATTTTGATGTAGCTGAAGTGTACAATCTGCTCAAACTACTTAGAAATGGAACACTTGAGGTCTTTCTGTTAAGCTGAGCTGCTTCTGTGGATACAAACCTCATGAATGGGAACTGGAGGATGTGTTGAGATGCTGATGGTGTTCCAACTTTCCCTGCAGGACATTCTGGAGTTGAGCCAAAACTGATTTAAACTGAAGCGTGTGTTTACAGTGCTGATGCTGGATGTGTCTGTAGACTGGACCCCCATTCA